TCTGTGTCTATTGGTTAGTCTTTTTTTTTTTTTAAATATATTTTATTGATTTTTTTACAGAGAGAAAGGGAGAGAGATAGATAGTTAGAAACATCGATGGGAGAGAAACATCGATCAGCTGCCTCCTGCACATCTCCCACTGGGGATGTGCCCGAAACCCAGGTACATGCCCTTGACCGGAATCGAACCTGGGACCCTTCAGTCCGCAGGCCGACGCTCTATCCACTGAGCCAAACCGGTTTCGGCTATTGGTTAGTCTTATATGCATGCATACAAGTCCTTTGGTTGATCTTTCCCCCTTACCTCCACCCTCCCCTACCTTCCCTCTGAGGTTTGACGGTCTCATTGGTGCTCCTCTGTCTCTGGATCTGTTTTTGTTCATCAGTTTATGTTCCTTATATTCCATAAATGAGTGAGATCATGTGATATTTATCTTTCTTTGACTGGCTTATTTCCCTTAGCACAGTGGTTGGCAAACTGCGGCTCATGAGCCACATGCGGCTCTTTGGCCCCTTGAGTGTGGCCACGAAGTTTCAATCGCACTGTACGTGCTGCCCGCACGTGGTATTTTGTGGAAGAGCCACACTCAAGGGGCCGCAGTTTGCTGACCACTGCCTTAGCATAATGCTCTCCAGTTCCATCCATGCTGTTGCAAATGGTAAGAATTCCTTCTTTTTTACCGCAGCATAGTATTCCATTGTGTAGATGTACCACAGTTTTCTAATCCATTCATCTGCTGATGGGCACTTAGACTGTTTCCAAATCTTAGCTATGGTGAATTGTGCTGCTATGAACATAGGGGTGCATATATCCTTTCTGATTGGTGTTTCTAGTTTCTTGGGATATTCCATATGATACTTTAAACCAAGTCAGAATTGCCACAGGGGAGGCCTGGGCATCCTGTTTTGTTTTTAATATATTTTTATTGATTTCAGAGCGGAAGGGAGAGGAAGAGATAGAAACATCAATGATGAGAAAGAATCATTGATTGGCTGCCTCCTGCACACCCCCCACTGGGGATGGAGCCTGCAACCTGGGCATGTGCCCTGATGGGGACTTTAACCGTGATCTTCTGGTTCATAGGTCAATGCTCAACCACTGAGCCACACTGTCTGGGCTGCATCCTATTTTTTTAAGAGTGCTGTAGGTTCAGCCACTGGTGGAGAACCACTAATTTAGGAAAGAGCACTTAAGGAATTTCAGGTGAGAGAGACTTTGTGAGCCCCAACCTGTCTCTTAGTACTTGTACGGTGGGCCCTCTCCTCACTTGTGGGTCTTAGTTTCCTCATCTGGGTTGATGAAAGCTGTAAAGGTTGATGTTGACATAGGCGGCTTAAGAAAGCATTTCCCATGTATTACGTTGTAGTTAATCCTCCCAAGAAACTTTATGAAGCATCCCTCCATTTCACTTAGAAAAAGAAACTAAGACAGTGAGAGATCAAGGAACTTGTTCAAAGTCCAAGGAAGCAGTGGGAACTGGCTCTGAACTTTATTTGACTCCAGGCCTTGCCCTCTGAGCCACTATGGTATTGTATGGCCTCCCAAGGTTGTCAAATGATTCACTAAAACTGCCCTGTCCCTCAGTGTCCTTGGCAGAGCCGATGTAGGGTTGGGAGGGCCATTCATTGGACAAAGATTAGTTAGGCATGTGTTAAAATATGCATGCAAAGTAATGAATTAATATGGTATTCATCAAATAGTACACAATAGCTTTTGAAAAAGGGTTGGTTCAGCCGGGTTCTCGCCCCCCTCCCCCTCGCCCCCGCTCCCGCCAAGCCCCTGGGGCTTGCTCACTTAGATGTTGGTTTTAAACATCAACTAAAGCAGACTCTTTGGGCTAATGTGATCCCAGAGAGCGTTTATGTCTAGTAGACAATAGTTAAGTGTTCGCTATCATTTTCTGAGCCTGCATTTCATTCTCCTAGGGCCAAGTGTATGCAGTCATTTTCCCAGAGAGCCCTTCCTAGGTGATGGTGTAACTGCAGGGTCACAGCAGATCTTTCTGTACAGAGTTTGGTGTGCCCTTGCCTGGTGGGAGTATGTTTCAGTGGTTACTGTAAACACACAATGATCAACTCCATCAGGTAGTGCTGGGGACTGACCCCCTCTGCATGCGTCTGTCTTTTCTTTTGTTAATCCTCACCCGAGGATATTTTTTCCATTGATTTTTAGAAAGAGTGGAAAGGAGGGAGGGGGCAGAGAGAAAGAGAGAGAGAGAGAGAGAGAGAGAGATGTGAGACAGACATATCAATCGGTTGCCTTCTGCATGTGCCCCGATCAGTGCCTGGGATCCAACCTGCAACTAAAGCATGTACCCTTGACCTGCAATCGAACCCACAATCCTTCGGTGCAGAGGTTTGTAGTGGGGCGGAAGTGCCAATGCTCTTACCACTTAGCAACACTGGTCAAGGCTGCACGCAAACAGCCCCTTCTATTTGTTCCCCTTGGACTTGTCATTGAAGCAATAACTTACCCATTTGTAGAAGAGAAGACAATGACTTAGGCATCTTTTTAAGGTTAGCATTTTGGAGGGTTTCTGGGGAGAAGATTTGTAGGAGGAATGGGAGCAATAGCAAAGTGTCTTCCAGTGGTTGATTTTATATTCTGAGCATGAGTTGTGGGTGTAAGTATAGTGGGTGAGGACAGCTGTCAACTACCTGCTTAGTTAGTGGGTTATATATTATCAGAGAAGTTAATAGAGAGTATGTTAGCATATTATCAGATTAACCTGGTTGTAGGGCTGGTATGGAATTGCAGCCTCTGTCCTTCTGGCTGACCATTTTCAGGATTGGCTACTCGGTTCCGTACATCAGAGGGTTGTAGTATATGGACCTGAGTAGGGCATATGTCCCAGTCAGGGCATATGTCTAAGTTGTGGGTTTGATCCCCGGTTGGGGCATGTATGGAGTCAACACATTGATTTTTCTCTCTCTCTCTCCCAAAAAAAAAAAAAATCACTAAAAACGGTTTGATCCCCGGTTGGGGCATGTATGGAGTCAACACATTGATGTTTCTCTCTCTCTCTCTCTCTCTCTCTCTCAAAAAAAAAAAATCACTAAAAACATACCCTCTGGTGAGCATTAAGTAAACTGTTAAAAAAATAAGAAGTAGGGAGGGATGATGGAGATTAAGACCCAAAGGTTTAGTTAAGTTTTCCTGTTCTATTTGCGACCCCGGAGCACCTGGGCCCAGGGACAGCTGTGGCCACCTTTGGCAGTCCCCCTTCCAGCTCCTTTGAATCTTATACAACAAGCCAAAGGAATAGGAAGAACGATTTCTGCTTTGCCAAATAAAGGACTGATGGTTTATTTAGATTGGAGATTTAACCTGATTTTTTAGCTTAGGATATTTACTCTGCCATGTCTTTGTGTTTTTTTCCTGCCAAAGCATCTACTGCCAGAGGAGATTTGGAGTCCATTTGTATGATTAGTGGATAGTAGAACTAATCTCCAATTTGATAAATCAGTCGATATCTGTCTTCACTTCCTTGGCATGAGTCCAACAAAAGTATTTCATACATGTGCACAGCTCAGAGATTGTGTGTGTGTGTGGTGTGTCCATCTGTCTCTGCATGTTTGGATGCTCTTGGGAGCAGTAGCTTTGTGGGGGCATCAGATAAGACCAGGGAAAAACCAATGGCTTGGGGGAAGGATGAGTACAGTAAGTATTGTTTTGGAGCACACGTGAGAACACTTCCCTCATGTATCACCTACAGCTGCCACAGTGCATAGAGTAGGGTGTGTCTTATGTTCCCGTTGGTTTTTGGGGAGCCTGTCACCCTTCTCTGCTTGTCCCTTGGGATTCAAGAAAGCCCTTTTGTGCTTCTTTCCTCTACTCATGTGATCACGCTGGGCAGGGAAATTTCTAGGCACTTGTTTGTTCATGGCCACTGGGATCTGAGGAATGTTGGCCTGAGCTTTTGTGGCTCCCGAATGTGTCCTGGCCTCCTGATGGCCTTTCTTCCTCCTCCTCCTCCTCACTCTGCATGGAGGTAACTGATGGTCAAAACCATGAAAGAAACAGCCCCTGTGTATTATGCTTGCTTCCTCCTTGCCCCTAGCCTATAGGTCCAGGGGACAGGTCCTAGACCTGTAGTGGGCGTTTGGACATCTGACCTCAGTTTGGTCACCAGGCCGAGTGTGGGTCTGTGTGGGGGCACATCCAGCTTAAGAGGAGGCGTTCTTCCTTCAAGCCTGTGCTTGTCAGTGGCCTGGTGGCTTTCTCTCCTCCCGCCCATCTGGCACTCGTCTATTATAAAGAAACAGAGTCCCTGTCTAAATTTGACCGTGGCCTAGATTTGGGGTGCAGCCTGAATACCTTTGCCTGCACCCTTGTAGCCGGTGCCTGGGAAGCAGTGCTGCATGGCTGATGAGGAGAGCTGGGCTGACTGTGGCAGCCAGTGAGCTCCAGGCAGCTGCCGGGCTGGGAGTGGGCAGATGGCCAGTCTTGCTCCCAGTTGGCAGCCCCCGGCTCACGTGTACTCATCACCAGGATACTGGAGTTGCCTGAGAGTCTCAGGGGCAAGACGCCAGCCAAGGAAATACTGTGCGTGAAATGTTTAGAGTAGGGCTCTTTGGGATGCCTCTTTTTTTTTTTCTTTGGCTGCTTTCTTAAAACACAGTGAAAAACCTCTCTCCCTGGTGTTTTGTCTTATTGAGATTCTGAGGAACATGGGACAGTAGTTAAGCAGCGAAGCCAGAGGAGATTCACAAGGCAAGAACTTTTGGGTTTCCCGGGACTCTGCCAAGGCGCTGTGACCTGGAGCATCTGGGACTCTGTTACCAGCATTTCCTTTTTATTTTTATTTATTGATTTCAGAGAGGGGGAGAGAGAAAGAGAAAAACATCAATTTCTTGCTCATTGTTTATGTATTCATTGGTGGTTGATTCTGGTACGCGCCCTGACCGGAGATCGAACACGAAACTTTAGCATATGGGGATGATGCTCTAACCAACTGACTTACCCGGCCAGGGCTTGACCTGCCATTTCTTAAGCAGAGCCCCGGCATCAGTCAGAACTTGGCAGAAAAGGGCAGGCGAGCCTCAAGGACAGAGGAATTTATCTGTCACTCTTGATGGGGGTGGGACTGCATTCTGGGTCCCTGACCTACTTTCATTTGATAAACTCTTACTTGTCTTCTTTAAAAACAGTTTTTTAAGGAAGGTCATCCAGACCTACTGTGTGAAGTTTGGGAAACTGATGATTGGCCTCTCTGTATTTCAGCTGTAGAAGCCCCACTCGCTCATGTTCCACTCCTACCTGCCACCTCAATTTATATACTGCATTTGGAACCTGTTGACCTTGTCCTAGTTAGTGTTGGTGGGGTGGAGTGCCTTTCTTACACTCCCAGGAGTGCCTTCTACTCTGGGGTTAGTAGCCGGCTTCTCAGCTGGCTTTAGGGCTCTGGTATCAGGCTGGGAATTAAGGTTCCTGTCATTCATCACCTGAAAACAAGATGGACTGCAAGGTGTGACTAAAGGGCTCTAGCCACCAGGGGGCGCTGGACCCGTTGGATTGTATAATGCCCATCGCTTTAAGGTGGGAATGAAATAAGAATTTCTGTGGAATTGTTAAGTTTGCTGTGGGGCACAGGACTTTGTGTCCATCCTTTGAGCACTGCTTCATCCATGCACTTTTCTTTGTTTCTCTTTCCAGCCTGTGGGCCGAAGCTGACCAACTCCCCAACAGTGATTGTCATGGTAGGCCTCCCTGCCCGGGGTAAGACCTACATATCCAAGAAGCTGACTCGATACCTCAACTGGATTGGTGTCCCCACGAAAGGTGAGGCCATGTCCCAAGGCTGATAGTCACTCTGCATGTGGCCATCCTGCTCACCAAGCCCCACCCCCCCCCTGCCCACTGCCCCATCTCTAGCTGCTGGGACTCACCACGCAAGACTGTCTTGGCTTGATCTCTCCCTATAATGGGGGGACTTTTTGTGGCTGTGTCCCACCATGCTGTTTACACTCCCTTACTTCGTGTTGAGATCTTTTCTGACTGGCCGCTCTGTTAGTCCCTCTGCCCCGAATCCTGCCTAGCTCAGCCCTGGCCTCCAAGAAGCCTTCTCTGGCCACCGAAGTCTATGCTGATCTTTTTCCTTTAAATTCCCGTGATATTCACCACTGACGGTCATAAAGTGCTTCATACGATTGACGATATTGTGATGAATCTTTGCCTGGTTTCTCAACTGTGTGGGAAATGTCTTAAGAACAGGGACTAACTTTTACATTTGCTGTCCCCCGCTGGGCCCAGCACAGTACGTCACATAGTAAGTGCCCAGTAAATACTCAGTGCTTCCTATGGGCGCAGGCTGCCGCGTCTGCAGAAGAGTGGCTGATTTGGACCCGGCCGTGGTGCGCAAGCCCGCTCTCTCCTGGGCACCATCGGCAGAAATCATTGCCTGTTTTCATTAGATGTATGGCTGCCACCTATTCTCACAGCCTCAGTCTCCAGCCCCTGACCTCATGAGGCTGGACTGGAGGCTGGGCTGGAGGCGACAACCTGTGGAAAAGCAGGTGGCTCTGAGCCATGTTTGGTCTGGGGGAAGCTGGGCTGCCTTCTAGGTCAGTGATTGCACTGGACAAGGCAGTTCACTTTCTGGTTTCCACATCTTACCGGGATCTTATTCAAGTTGGCGTGTGTGTGTGTGTGTGTGTGTGTGTGTTGGCTTGGCTTCCCTTTTTGGAGAGTGTTCCCAGCTGTGAGTGGCCCCTTCTTCCTGGGGGCCAGCTGAGTGACCTCTCTGTTCCCTCTGCAGTGTTCAACGTTGGAGAGTACCGCCGGGAGGCCGTGAAGCACTACAGCTCCTACAACTTCTTCCGCCCTGACAACGAGGAGGCCATGAGAGTCCGAAAGTAAGGCCCGAGCTGCTGAGCTGCCGCAGGAGGCTTTGGGTTTTGGTTTGCTTTGCTTTTGAAAGCCAGGCTTGGTAAGAGAAAGAGGAAGCTGGCCTGTAGGGTGGCTCTCTGTAGGTGACCATCAGATCTGGCCCCACCTCCGTGTGTACTAAGAGGAGTTTCCTGGCCGCTCTGAGGCTTGCTGCTTTTATCTGCTCCGGATGCTCTAATCCAGCTCGAGAACAATGTTTCATTATTAAGAATGAACAAAATTGTTTTCATGGAAAATCAGCTGTTTATACCGAAAAGGGTGGTGGTGTTGTTTTTTTTAAGCCCAAGGTGATCATGAAACCCAAGTGCAGTGGTGTCCAACCCTGGCTACACTTTAGAATCACCAGGGAGCTTAGAACGACCCCAATGCCAGGCCTACCCCAGACCAGTTTGGTGAGGATCTATAGGCCAGACCTGGGCATAGGTTTCTTAAAAGCTCCCAGGAGGTTTCAGTGTGCAGCCACCATGAGCACCACTTCCAGACGGTAATGGCAGCCCTCTGTGCAGCTATGGTGGGAGCCTCTGGGCCTGCGGGGTGTGTGCCTGGCAGTCCTGTCCAGCCTGGGCAGTTCAGCAGTAGGATCGCCAGTCACTGCTCGGATGGGCAGGCTCTGATGTGTGTTCTCTTTCTCCGTGTTGCAGGCAGTGTGCCCTCGCTGCCTTGAGAGACGTCAAAAGTTACCTGACGAAGGAAGGGGGCCAAATTTCAGTAAGTCGGGAGTATGCTGGCTCTATCTCCAGCCCTGGAGTGGGATGGTGCCCTGGAGAGAGTGAAATGTAGACACAGCCCGAGCCATTACCAAGAGCCATTGTGGGGACACCTCAAATAGGGACGAGTGCCTCTGTCCTGAGAGTTGAGGGAAGCAGGTGGCTAGAGTAGCACAGGGACCCAGGAAGGTGGGTATCGGGCGGACTCAGGGGCAGAGCCATCTGTGTGCTCTGCTCACCCCTCCTCTGTGTGCTCTCTGCACCACCCTCCAAGGCAGGCTGGACCTGGGGTGGCTGCAACCACGGAGCCAGTGTCCCTTCCATATGCACCTTCCCTGCAGGTTACTGTTATTTGTTTGCTTTAAGGGTTGTGCCCACCCCTCCACTCCCCTCCCTGAGAGCTGGAGTTTGTGGGAGAGGGGAGAGAAGGGAGGGCTGAGGGGCAGGGCGCAGTTTCTCCGGGAACCACATTTTTTGGCTTCTACCTAGATGTGTCAGGCCCGATCTCCTTGGTGACTTGGTGAATACTGTTAAAACTCAAACTTGGGTTCTCTTCACTATCCTTCTTGTTCTCTACCAGGTTTTCGATGCCACCAATACTACTAGAGAGAGGAGACACATGATCCTTAATTTTGCCAAAGAAAATGATTTCAAGGTGAGTCAAACGTCTTGTCTTGCCCTGGAGTGCTCAGGAGAAAGGAAAACCCTCAGGAATCAGCTGCTTTATACTTGGTCCTTCAGCTCCTGCTGCCCTGGTTTTGCTACATGTAGATAGGGCCCTCCTGGAGCTGGCTCTTAGGGTTACTATGGCTGGTGGGGTAGGGGGAGGCATCTTTCCATTGGGGCAGGACTTTTTTGTTTTGAGATTTGTGAGTGGTGTCATTCCTCCTCACACACGGTGATGGCATTACAGTGATACCAAAGCTGGCCCTTTGCGTTACCACATTTATTGCTTCCTAACATTTCTGTCTCTCTTCTTTCCAGGTGTTTTTCATCGAGTCAGTGTGCGATGACCCTACAGTTGTGGCCTCCAACATTAGGGTAAGACAACACAGGGCCCCCGCTCTAGTGGCGGAGTCTGAGAAAAGCAGGGAACCAGGTCAGGCCCAGAGAAGTATCTAGACTCTGAGAACAAGCTGCCTCTCACAGCTTGTTGTTGATTTTGTCTGGGAGGTGGGATCCAGGGAGGTCAGAAGTGCAGAGTGGCATTTAACATAGAAGCATGTTCTTCGATCTGGCCTGGCTTTATCCACGCCCTTTCAGACAGTCTGCAGAAGGCACTTATTGTGGCACATGGGCGGTAAGGCAGGGTCCGGGAACAGTTTCTGTGGGTGGCAGTAGCTTGGTGGCTGGGTGGTGACGGGGTTGCTTGGGGCAAGGGGCGATCACCCCTCCAGGCAGGTAAGTGGTTGTGAATTGACAACAGCCATAGGACTCAATGGACTAAAGGCAGAATTCCTAGTTTGGCAAGCTTGGGAGTAGTCAAACTATCTTCCTGCTGGTGAATCTACAACATACCCTCCTCCTCTCCCTGTGCCAAGAGAAGGTTGCCCGGATAAACTGAGGGTAATTGGCAGCTTAATTTGATTAATTCTTAAATTGTATCACTTGATAACAGTATATTGTAAATAGAAACAGTTACTGGGAAGACTTTACCACAAGTCACCTTCTAGATAATTTTCCATCTAGCTTAAATACATCAGAATAAGACATAGCTACACATCTGGTATTGCCGCAGGGCATGGTGTGGTATCACTACATATAAGTGTGCACCTTTAAAAGGGTGTTGAATGCTCATGAGCTTCTGGTATTGGGCCTTTTCTCCAAGGCCCGCGGTTCTCAACCTGTGGGTCGTGACCCCTTTGGGGGTCAAACGACCCTTTCACAGGGGTCACCTAAGACCATCGGAAAACACATATATAATTACATAGTGTTTTTGTGATTAATCACTATGTTGTAATTATGTTCAATTGTAAGACCCTTTCACAGGGGTCGCCTAAGACCATCGGAAAACACATATATAATTACATATTGTTTTTGTGATTAATCACTATGCTTTAAATTATGTTCAATTGTAACAATGAAAATACATCCTGCATATCAGATGTTTACATTACGATTCATAACAGTAGCAAAATTACAGTTATGAAGTAGCAATGAAAATAATTTTATGGTTGAGGAACTGTATTAAAGGGTCTCCGCATTAGGAAGATTGAGAACCACTGTCCAAGGCAGTGGGAATATTTACACGCATTTCTAAGAAGTGACTTCATAGTTCAGGAAGGGCTATTCAAGTTGTGGAAAATCAGTCCAGAGTGGTTTCAGCGGAAGAGGCTCAGAGGACGAGGAAACAGAAATTGTTGTAATCTAAACAAAGGGTTTTGCTGTATTTCTTTGGCTTGGTTCTACCAGCTCCACTTGGTAGGAAAGGACAGAGTCGCTGCAAAGTCACTTCCCGGTGACCAGCTGTCACCATGTGTGTGGCCAGGAGTCACTCGCCCCGACCCCCGTGATCAGAAGCCTCTTTCTCTGATTAAGCCTCAAAGCGACTTTGCGGCTTAACTCTCCTCTTTGTGTGGGTGGCTGTGCTGGGAGAAAAGATTTGTTTTTAAGGGATCAGTTCCATGGCCTTCAGCATAGTCACACGATTGTGCAACCACCACCATTGAGCTCTAGAACTTTTTTGTCTTCTCAGATTGAAGCTCTGCACCATGAAACACCAACTCCCCACTGGACTTGGATGTTGAAAGAGTAGCTGCCTCTCTTTTGTGGCTGTGGTAGTTGTTGAGGAAAAGGACACATGCATTAAAAAATTCAGAGTTTTCCCTACAATCTGCCAGGTTGCTCAGATCTATTGTTCACGTAGAGGAGGAGATGGCAGGCTCGAGAGTTGGTTCTCCTCCATCTCCTTCCCATAAGAGCGAACCTTGGAAGGGACTGGGCCTGAGTTAGAAAAGTGCTAGCCATGGTCTGGTTGCTGCCTGTCTACGGGCAGTGGAGGAAGCATCCTGCCTGCCACCCAGGGCCAGGGCCATTGCAGCATCACCGGATGCAGCTTTGCTAACCGAAAGTCTGTTCTTGGTGTGGAGAATGTCACAGGTGCTTACATGGAGCTCAGTTATTGAGGGCTGGGATGCTGAAGGTGACATGCTTACTGGGTTGATCCCGAATCGTGGCCGATTCAGAGGTGTTCATTAGACCCCTCGGGGGTCCCCTGTCTCTGTCCATCCAGTCAGTGATCCTTTGTCTACCGTGGTGCCCTCCACGCGTAATTGTCGGGTTATGACTCAGCACCAGTGTATTTCCTTCTTCCCTTAAACACTGGTTCGGATCATCATTATTCCAAGGCTGTCTGTGCTTTCCCCAAATCCTGCTTCAGCTAAGCAGAAAGCCTCCACCATGATTCATGAGCTGCCTCTTTGTGGTGTTACAGGAAGTGAAAATCTCCAGCCCGGATTACAAAGACTGCAACTCAGCAGAGGCCATGGAGGACTTCATGAAGAGAATTAACTGCTATGAAGCCAGCTATCAGCCCCTCGACCCCGACAAATGTGACAGGTAGTTCTTCGGAGGGGATCCTCTCTGAATCACCGACTTTAGAGCTTTTAAGTTCCCACAATGCAATTGCTCCTGGATACTTTCAGGAACTGTCTTGTAAAATATCTTTTGAAGAAAATCCTTCACTGCATGTCCAGTGTAACTGCTTCAGACACTAACGATGTAGAAGTGCGGGAAGTGAATATCCAGCCCAGTCTTGCTGGGCCCTTTGACACAGCCTCTCCTTTCTTTCCCTTCTTTTGCTTTTCTCTCCCCCTCTTCTGGGAGGCCGTCAGCCTCTCGACCACACACTCTGCTGTGTGAGTTACAAACTCACACTGTTAGATCACATAGATGCAGACTGTGCCCTCCAGGAACATACAGCCAGACGGTGTGGTTCTGTTGGGGCCAACCTCTGCCCTTGACCCCAGCCGGATGCTGCACTGATGAGGGGAGCGGGTTCTGACCTGCTGGTCGCCTTCCTCTGCAGGGACCTGTCCTTGATCAAGGTGATCGACGTGGGCCGGCGGTTCTTGGTGAACAGAGTTCAGGACCACATTCAGAGCCGAATTGTGTACTACCTGATGAACATCCACGTGCAGCCCCGCACCATCTACCTGTGTCGGCACGGAGAGAGCGAGCACAACCTCCAGGGGAAGATCGGAGGGGACTCAGGCCTGTCCGTCAGGGGCAGGAAGGTAAGAAGGGAACAGGGGGAAGGTAAGGGGCTGAGGGGTGGGGTGTGAGTGTGTCTGTATACGTGTGTGTCTCTGTGTGTGTGTGTCTGTGTCTATGCGTGTATATGTCTCCATTTATGTGTGTGTGTATGTGTGTATGCATCTCTGTATGTATGTGTGTGCCTGTGTTTGTGTGGATGAGAAGGGAACATCTCCAGGGCTGTGAGGAGAGTGTGTGGGGGTGGCTCCTCAGTTGCTGTCTGTCTCCTCCTCACCATCCTAATGACAACCAAGTGACCGTCCCCAGTGCAGGGAACAAGCCCTGCACTGCCTGTCCAGGGGGCACAGGAGCCTGGAGTCCAGTGTGTGTCCCTCTCGTCCCTGCCCTCAGTTTGCCAACGCCCTGAGCAAATTTGTGGAGGAGCAGAACCTGAAGGACCTCAAGGTGTGGGCCAGCCAGCTGAAGAGCACCATCCAGACGGCAGAAGCCCTTCAGCTTCCCTATGAACAGTGGAAAGCGCTCAACGAAATCGATGCTGTGAGTTCCTGGTCTGGCTATGCCTGTCGGGGGGCAGGAGCGAGACGGCCAGGAAGCCTCTTCTTGCCAAATCTGCTGGAAATCCTGAGAGCCCTTTCAGACCACACGGGCTGTGTTGACCAACTCAAGGTGACCGGGGTGTTTTCTCCAGGGTGTCTGCGAGGAGATGACCTACGAGGAGATCAAGGACACCTACCCTGAGGAGTACGCTCTGCGCGAGCAGGACAAGTACTACTACCGGTACCCCACTGGGGAGGTACGTGTGCTGGCACAGCTGCCCCTTCCTCCAGTGGTCAGTTGTAGCTGCTGTGTGCTGTGCCTGGAGGAGCTCACGACGGTCCTTCTGGGGCCGCGGTGTTGGGCTAGCCCGAGAGAGGGCCGCTGGGCACCCCAACGGACCGTTACTGTGCACAGTGACCCACGTGTTGTTCTGATGCTTGTTCCTGGCACTTTTGAGTTGGGTTTTCCTGCACTGAACCTGTAAACAGCTCCAAGGGAAGTACCATGAGCAACAGTGAGAGACGTGTTTCTCTAACGACACACACAAGTGCAGGAAGGAACAGCAGTGGTGGGTGATTATTCCCTCGGTGCGAGGGTTCTCCCCTTGACCGCAGGCGAGATGCAGACACGCCATCGCATCACTGCGCTGACTGAATTGGCCCTGATGCGGGCAGTCCCCAAAGGCTGTGTACATAGCTCACTTAGGCCGACTGAGCAGCTGCTTAGAGCCCTGGTCAGAGAGTCTGGGAAGCAGGTGGTGCTCTGGGCGTCTACGGCAGGTGACACGACACCGAGCGGGAGCCCTGCCCGTCTGGGGCCTGTCATCTCAGTTTCCCCATAGCCCAAGGTGCTGTCCTTTTGTGTCACCCTGGCCCTCGTTCCTGGGACCTGGTTAGTAAGAGAAGGAAGGGGGACAGCAGAGAGGCCTTTTTCAACTTATTTTTATTGACATAAAATTTACATAATATAAAACTCACTGTTTTAACCATTTTTAAGTATGTATTCCAGTGATTTTTAGTATATTCACAATACCAAGCAACCATCACCACTAGGTCTAGAATATTCCATCACTCCAAAAAGAAACCCGAACCTGTTAGCGGTCAGTCTCCATTCTCCTACCTCCAGCTCCTGGCAGCCACGGATCTGCTTCCTGTGGAGTTGCCTGTTCTGGGCATTTTATATAAGTGGGATTGTACAATATGCGGACTTGGGTGTCTGGCTCCTGTCACTTTGTATACCGTTTTTGAGGTCCATCCACGCTGCAGCGTGTGTCGGACTTCAGTCCTCACTGCCCGTGCAGAGGGTCAGGAAAGGGAAGGAGCGGTGAGAGAGGGAGGGTGCAGGCCGGTGTCCTCTCAGGATCGCCTCTCCACATCCTCAGCAGCACACGGGCGATTTCCCTTTCCGAGGGAGCCCGCTGAGGTGGGTTCCCAGGGCCCATAGGCAGCAGCACTAAGACACGCCAGGGTGTTACTGATCGATCTTTCGTCCTCTAGTTCATAGTGAGGGGGGCCAAGGTGGCCCAGCTCTCGCCTTCCTGTGTGTGCAGCTCCAGCACAGCGCCTCTCCCTCTGTCCCTCTGTCTTGCAGTCCTACCAGGACCTGGTCCAGCGCCTGGAGCCAGTGATCATGGAGCTGGAGCGGCAGGAGAATGTGCTGGTGATCTGCCACCAGGCTGTCCTGCGCTGCCTGCTGGCCTACTTCCTGGATAAGAGTGCAGGTGCCGCATCCCCCAAAGCGTCCTAGGGGAGAGGGGGGCTGGGAGCTGGCTGCCATCTTGAAAGGAGAAGGGGAAAATGGCCTCTGAGTTTGGGGTAGCAGCGGACCTGGTCCTGCCTTACCCGACCTGCGCAGGTTGCTGTTGTGCTTCTGAGGGCCCTCAGACCAGCCCCTGGGAACCGTCATAGCAGGACGTGAGGCATGGTGGGCCAACAGCTTCATTCACAGCCTCTGAAAGCCCTCGTCCACTCTCTTAGCGGCTTTGGGCCAGGTGGGGAGGGGCCAGCTCGTCTCTGCAGCCCCCCCTCTATTGAACAAACAGCCCAGAAAACTCTACCTGAAAAATTTAAGTCTGAGTCAGCCAGAGGTTCACCTGAATCCTGACACACTTTTTTATTTTTATTTTTAACTATAACTCATTCTGTGAGAGCGGGTGTGGGGTTTGCTCTGATTTTGTTCTTTGGGCTAGGTGTCTTTTCTCGGGCCCTCTGCCTTCAGGGAGGGCCTGTGTGAGGGTGGGGCCGGGGAGATGCCGCTGAGGGTCTGACCTGGCCGAGCTCTTGCTGGGGGCCTGGGAATGTCCATCCCCAAGTCTCGTGTCTGATCATGGGGCCCTTTCTCATCTTTTCAGAGGAAATGCCTTACCTGAGATGCCCCCTTCACACCGTCCTGAAGCTGACGCCAGTCGCTTACGGTGAGTGTGGTGACGCAGGCCGTGCCGCGTGAGCCCTGCCGCCCTGGGATGGTGGCTCCTGGTGGCTGCGGGGCTGCAAGCGGCTTGTCCCCTTTCACCATGAGCTGCTCTCTCCCCCGGCCAGGCTGCCGTGTAGAATCCATCTACCTGAATGTGGAGTCCGTGAACACACACCGGGAGAGGTCAGAGGTGAGTGGAAGCTCCGAGCCTCCACCCTTTAGCACCCCTTCCTGTCCTCCATCCCGAGGACTGTCCAGGGGCGGGACCCATACGTGTGAGCTCTTGGGAAGTCCCCAGTATGGTGTTGCCTGTAAACGCTGAAGGAAATCTCGGTTCTTACGGAGGTAGTTTGTTGGAACCAGAAGGGCCTGGGTGACTTTCTCCTCTTCCTTTTATCAGCATCTGTGCGCTCCTGCCCTGTCTTTCTTGTGGCTTCTTGCCGTCTTCGTTCTTTCTCTTTCCATGCTTTCTTCCCCCGTTTCTCCTTGACCCGAGAAGCGAGTAGTAACGAGGGAGACACATTCTGCTCTTTCACTGTAACCACAGCACAGATATTGTTGCCTTTTCCTCTGAGGCAGCTAAAACTGCTTTCAGTTTCCAGAGCCACTGGTTAAAACGGTCACCTCTTCGTGCGTAGGTACTGAATTACCAGGAAAGGGTAATAGTGAAAAGGGAAGTGGGACTGGAGAAACATACAATTTTTTTAAAAAACATGTTTTTATTGATTTCAGAGTGGAAGGGAGAGGGAGAGAGAGATAGAAACATCAATGATTCGAGAATCACTGATCAGCTGCCTCCTGCATGCCCGACACTGGGGACCGAGCCTGCAACCTGGGCATGTGCCCTGACCGGGAATCCAACCGTGACCTGCTGGTTCATAGGTTGACACTCAACCACTGAGCCACGCTGGCCGGGTGGAGAAACGTATGATTTGGAAATTAGGGACAGGAGGGATGGTGGGTGGAAAGTTTTCCAGGAGACACCAGAGCCTGGTGGTATTCGATCGTCCTCTGGGAGGTCTGCGATCTGGTGGTCGGCCTGGCGGGCTCTCCCCAGGGCAGAGCCACTCTCTGCCCACATGTATGTCATGGAAGAAAGTTGGAATTTACTTTGTACCGACTGCCGAAATGTGGTGCTTGGCCAGCATCAGTCCCACACTTTCCTGTACACCGAGTATGACATGCCCGTCTGTGCAGGGGACTTTCCTGTTCCCTGGGAGCTTGACCAGAAGATTTTGGCATTAAAACCCTGGCTTCCACCGGCAGTTGCCTGGCTGGTTGACTGAAACGCAGGAGGGCAGCATCCCCTGGCTCTGTGACCCCCCCTCTCTGGACATCTGTGGGTGGCGGGTGCTGCATCTCCTCTGGCTCCGTGCGGAGCAGCCTCCCAGCCGGACTCCCAGCTTCGGGGTTTGGCTGCACAGGGCTCTGATGGTCCCTGAACACTGTGCAGAACCGGGGCAGGTCCTTGGTGGAGACAGACTCCAATGCAGGCTCCCAGGTCACAAGCTACAGTGACAGGCCACGGGGATCGCTCCAATCGCATTGTCACTTGGTCAGAAGGCTAGTGTTTGGCTCTGGCTGGCTGTTTCTGCCTCCCTCCGGTCTCGTGTCTCCTGGCTGGCTTTGGAACCCGCCTTTCCTGTCCTGAGCTGGGGGTAGGCTGGATGCAGGAGCAGTTCTATGCCTGCTCTGCAGATCTTGGCTTGCGGTCAGTACGGGGGCATCAGCACCGACACCTCCCTCCTGCCTTCCTGTCCTCCTGCTGTCCTGTCCCCTTCCCCGAGCTCACACCCAGGCCTCTCTTCCCTCCACGCCCCTCCTTGGAGGCTGGCAGCAAGGTTCTTCTCTCCCACCTCGTTGTCCACTGTAACTGAATGACTGTCAGAATTGGTCCTGCTGTTCTCCCCTCGCCTGCTTTGTGAACGTCGAGCTTGTGTGGGTGGGTGTCTTGGGATGATCCGGAAAAGGGCCTCAGGAGAAGATCATCTCTTGTCGACTGCGAGATGCAAGACAGAATGGCAACCCGTGTCCCAGGGCCGTTCACCTTGGTCGGTCTTGTCCTGTCAGTAAAACTCCAGAAGCAGAAAAACGTGTTTTGATTGGTTTTTTTTTTTTTTTGGCTTATTTACCCCCCTTCTCCGTGTAACTGTCGCCTTCTCTCTTTTGTCTTTGTCTCGCTTAGGACGCAAAGAAGGGACCTAACCCACTCATGAGACGCAATAGTGTCACCCCACTAGCCAGCCCCGAGCCCACCAAAAAGCCTCGCATCAACAGCTTTGAGGAGCATGTGGCCTCTACCTCCGCTGCCCTGCCCAACTGCCTGCCCCCGGAGGTGCCCGCGCAGCTGCCTGGACAAGTGCGTGACCCCCCCCTTTTCCTTCCTGGCTGTCGTGTCTCCTGTCTGGATGGAGAGACTGCCCTTGGGTACCACCATAGCCTCAGACCCAGGCCTGCATGTGGGTGGGGGAGGGGAAGAACACGGGATAGCGTCTGAAGTTTGTAACATCCTGGAGGTCCCGTCTGGTCCTTCCTGACCATGGCTGTGAGCGTGCATACCTGCCTTCTGAGGAGGTTCCCTTCACTGGGCAGAGCCGGGCAGAACCGGGCAGAACAGGAGAAATGGTGGTGTCTGCGTCCTCATGTTCGTGGATAGGTTTTGCAAAGCAGCGTGGAAGGCAGCCCCTAGGTTGGAAGTCTCCATGCAGTCTGGGCCGTTGGCTTCTGCATGGCCTGAGGACGTCTTTTCTGTCCCAGGCCCATGGCTGAGTATTTCTCCTTCCTTTCTCACCGTGGCTTCCCATGGTGGAAAAGCAGTAGTCAAAGGGGGCCCTCGGATAATGTCCTTAGCCGGAACCCACATGGTCCAGTGGGCACCTGGGCAGCCTAACTCCCAGGGCTGGATGGTCTGGAAACAGCCACTTTCTCACAGCAGTTACTTTGGCAGGTAGCGAAAAAACCAAAAGCAAAAAACCAACTAGACTTCACTTTATTCCCTGTAAAGATTAAAGGCTGAAAGATCTCCGCTACTGGGCGAACAAATTAAGATTTGTTTTTAGAAATGACAGCCAAGATTCTGTGACACATAGAAATCTCTGGGCACAAATTTGGGTCCCACCCAGGGTCTTCCCCCACCTCCACCCACCAGGCCTATCTCTTACAAATAAGTCACGGCTAACTTTGAATTGGATTTGTCTGAGTTCGGTGCTAAGGCCTGTACTCTCCCTGCATTTTGCCTGAAGCTCATTTAAATCCTGTGGTGTCTGGAAATGGGATGTGGGGACAAGTGCTGTGCAGTCTTGGGCAGGTCATTGAACCTCTTCAGGCCTCGGTTTTCTCATCTGGAGAATAGGGGAGTAATGCCAACTGCCATAGCAGATCAAAGAGGGAATAAGTGCTGAGCATCAAGCACAGTATCTGCCCCTGGCACTAACTGTAGGATTTTATTGTCAGGTTACATCCCTCCCTGGCCTTCAATCTCCTTATCTTTCCAAATGAGGGGGTAGGACTTGGGCATATCTAATTAATATTCCTTTTAGGTCTAAAATTTGAGGGTTTTTTTTTTTTTTTTATTGTTTTCGAACTGAAGTTCTACGTGGCACATCTATGACATTGTTTTGGTGTAAACTGGGGCCACAGTTGGAAGTTTAGAGGCTCCTGTCACTGACACTTGCAGGGACTGGCCTGGGCTGGGTTCAGCGGTGGGTGTGTGGGACTGCACTATCCCCGGTCACGGAGGATGCATAGCTGGGGCTCTCCCAACTTTGGCAGGACAGTCCTTCGGGGTTGCTGAGCTGAATCCTCAGGGAGTCTGGAAGCTGGGCCAGGCTGGGGGTCCCAGCAGAGGAATCCTGATTTCACACGACCTGGGCCTTGTACCCTGTCCCTCTACTGACCTCTCTCTCAACCTTTTCTCTCTGCAGCCTTTGCTAGGGAAAGCCTGTTTGTAAGTATTTTTCTCTGTATGATTTTGCTGCTAGCACCTCTTTCTCCTTGCTTGCCAGTTTGGCCTCCTGTCTGTTAAAATGTTGAGGTTAACGACAGTTTTTGTGAAATATGAAGGAGGCAAGATGGGCACTGAAGGAGGGAGAGGAGGGATTCATGAATTTGTAGCACAAGACGCAAAAGTAATTACGGCCCAGCTGTTTTCTGCGTCACTCCCTCTCGGCATCCTGGGTTACTGTTAGTGCTAAATCTCATTTGTCCCCCTTGGCGTCAGATTTTGGTGGTGAGCTAAGTCTTCTGCCTGCTACTGTTTTTTAAAATTCTGTGTCTCCCTTAGGAGAGCCCTTTCATTCCTAGGGGAACATTTACCCAGAGCCTAATCTGCAAAACAGAAAGTGGCGCTGCAGCCTCTCCCTCTTGTCCTGGCAGGGACTCCCACCCCCCACCCCCCACCCTTGGGGCTCCAGGACCCCCACACTTTGGAGCGGTCTGATTGGAAACCGTTGTTTTGAATCAGGTTGTCCTGTATGGGAACCTGCTCAGCCTTAATAGTCATGTTCAGGATTGGGGCCAGCTTTCGAGTCAGACCCATTTGGCTTCCCCTTTCCTACAGCCAGAGCTCTCTGCAGAACGTTCTGGTTGTGTTAGCTAGAGCATTTCCAGTGCTCCGGTGGGCCCCAACTACAGAAGGAACCGAGGCCTTTATATTGTAGTTTCAGAACAGCCACCCGAAATATCACCCTCTCCAACCCCTCAAGCGCACCTACCCGTGGTCCCTTTTGCTGATTAGGGCCCCTCCACCGATTCATGCGGGAGCCAAAGGCCTTTAGGAGGTCAGCCTGATAAGCTTAAAAGCTCGGCTTGCTCTGGGAAAACAGGAGTTGTTGGGCGCTTAGATTAGGCGGCACCACCTGTACTGCTTGCACATAATCTCTTGTCTTTGATCCTTAACCCCAGGATGTCTGAGGGCAGTTGCTATCCCCGTTTAGCAGACGAGGGCCCAGGTCAGCCGGTGAGTGGCAGAACCAGGACTTGATCAGACCTCCCTGTCCTGAGGCTGGCTGCTTTCTCTGGGCTGGTTTCTGGGAACAGTCAAGATACTGTTCCCCTGCCCCTGCCTTGGGCACCTGACGTTTGCCGCCTGTGGGGCACTGCCTGGCGCTGTTTGATTTCCCTTTTAGCTCTTGCAGCCTCTCCCATGCAGCTGTTTCCCATGGCTGAGGTGTGTTTACTTAATATGGGCGTGTCCATGAAATTCAGGCTTTAGGAGCCACTGCCCCATGCATCTGTGCATCTCCTGTTTCTTTTGACTCATGGCCTGGAACTGCCAGGAAAGAAATCTTCCTGCTGGAGGGGGCCATTTGGGCACGTCCCCTACATACTAAGCTTGAACTTGCCCATCTCTAAGGCTAACAGCACCTTTGGCTAGATTCCTTCCAGTTCTCTGGACCCTTCACACCTGCATTCACTCTGGGATTTCAGCACTCAGCCCAGCCCAGCTGTAGTTCCCAAAATGTATTGTTAGAGTCACACTGAACCGGGTTTGGATCTTGGTTCTACTACCCTCTCAATTTGGAACTCTGGGCAAGGTGGTGTCATTCTAGGGCTCCAACCTCCTCATCTGTGAAATGGAGTTAGGAACATTGCGAGGTGTTTTGATAATGTAGCACATTATGGTGGGAGAGATGGTGCCCTGTGCCTTGGTGGGGACGTCCAGCTCTCTGGCTTGCACTCCACTCTGCATTTTGATGCCCCCCTGTTCCCTCTGCACAGGCCAGTGGCATTTCTTCTCATGAACAGCAGGAGCATCAAGAGGTTGGGGAGTGGGGGAACCCCTGGGATCTTAAGGGCTGTGGTTGGAGGATGCCCGTAAATGTGGTTTCCCAACAAAGCGAGCATGGCGGCCCAGCCAGTGTGGTGTCCTCCAGTCCAGTCCTGGGGGCTGTTTCCTGTGCTTGGGGCCAGCCATTCACCATGCATCCTTGACTTTGAAATTTCAAATGCACACTAACAACAAAATGCTACTAAAGATGTATTTTGTTTTTTTTTTTCCAACATGTTTCTTCCTTTGCCCCACTATGCTTGAAAGACGAACTGTCTGTCACATTTTCTCAAAGTTTTCTCCTTACTAACCTTGGAAAGGTAAATGGCTCGGTGCATGCCCCTCTCGGTCCCCTCCGCATCTCTCTGAGTCATGGCATCTCTGCCTGGCAGGGCGCCTCGGTCTGTGTGAAGACTGGCCATTGTGAAGTGTGTGACTCATACACCCCATGCCAGAGAACTCATGATTTTTTTAAGAGCAGCACCCTTGTCCTGAGGTCCCCTCTCTCACTTCCTCCTTTCCCTCCATGTGTCCTGAGCCAGGGACACCATGAGTGAATGGTTTGACAATGCCTGTGCCTGCGGCCTCCTGTGTCATTGTCCCGTCGCCATCATTTGTGGGTGCTCGGAGTCAGGCTTGACATGTGTGAGGGCGGGTTGGAGGCAGCTGGGCAGCACCTCGCTCTGACCCTACAAGTTGACTGGGTCCTCTCTGGTTTCGAGGCTTCAGAGTGTTCCCCAACAGACACCCACTTCACAGAGACTGTCTGATGTACTGTAGTTGGAGGTCCAGTCACCTGGGATCCTGAGTCCAGCTGAGAGCAGGCTCAGATCTGGCCTTCAGTGCTCCCAGCCTGGGCTTCTCTTCTGTCGGGATTCCTGCACCAGGGCCCTTGGTTCTGCAGGGAAGGGAGTGGGCCCAGGTGATCCTTGCATACTTGTCTCTCTGGGTTCCACTCTGTACCCCTGTCCTATAAGACAGTCTTGGCGTAGACACTCAGGATGGGAGAGAACACTTTTTAAAAAGAGTCTCCCTTTTTGGTGGGTAAATTAAAGAGGTTAAAGAGACCCGCTGCTGTGCAGTGGCAGCCATCATTCATCCCCAGCTGATAGAAAAACATTTGGGGGGGGGGGGTGTGGTTTGGTACTGGCCAGCTTCTTACAGGTGAGGCTTCTGGCTGGGATTACTTTTATGAGAACGGGAAGAGAGCCTTAGTGACAATGCCCACGCCCAGCCCGCTCGAGGCACCTGTGCTCCAGCTGCCGAGCTTGTGTTCCTAGGATCTGGATCCCAGGGGCTGAGGTGTGCGGCCCTGCTTGAGCCGAGTGGGGAGGAGAGTCCGTATGCTTTTCTAGAGGGCCTCCTGGAGCATCTGCCTGTCGTGGCCAACAAGACTTCCTGGGGCAGGGGCAGGGGCAGCCCCGCGGCTCTCAAGGGCTGAGCTGAGGAGCGTCTTCTACGTGCTGGCCCCATTGCTCCCCAGGACAGCTCTGACCTACGGAGCTGCCTGCTGTCCCTCTTCTCCTTCCTCTGCCATGAGGCCCTTCTCCTGTGTGACCCTGGCCTTCACCTCCACATGTTCCTGGGGCCTCCCTGGGCAACTGCCACCAGTTTGGTTACTAATGTTCTCCCGGGATTGTGTTTTTTGTTTGGGGGGAGGGAGGTTGAAGTCTCAATTGCATGGTTTTAGTCTTTTGCTTTGGAAACCTAGTCAACAGTAATAATTCCCCTTCCCCACCCTTTTTCTCCTGAAAACAGAACATGAATGGCTACCAGAGCAGCGTCGACTCCTCCCAGACACACTGAGGCAGACCCATCGGTTCCATTCCATTTCCATTCCTGCAGCTTAGGTAGGGCTCTTCCCTCCACCCGAGGCCGACCATGCCAACGGCTTCTCCCGGAAAGGGCTGGGCGGCGTACAAGAGGGGTCTGCTGGTCAAAGTGAACTTCTGCTCCCAACAGCACCTGGGCGGCCAAGACCCCAGCACGCCTTTCCTGTGTGTGCACAGAATCTATGCTTCTGTGGCCACCCCCATCCCATGCTCTCCCCACTGTCCAGGCTGTGTGGCCTCACGGACCCTTCATAAGACTTGGTGAGGACAATGAGCCGTGGAGGAGGTGAGAGAAGGCCCCGAGGAGGGGACGGACATTGGGCACCTCGTGCTGTTTTTTTGTTTCATGTCTGTGACCTTGGCCTAGAATGTTCCCAGCTGGGAAAATGACATTGGTCTCAGAATCCTAACATTAAAGGGGCCTAGGTCCCAGTTGCTGACAGTTCAGGGACGTAGAAAACTTTCATAAGGCTTGTTGGGGCATCTTTGCCTGGGATGTTGACCTGTGAAGAAAAGACGAGTTGCTGGGGTAGAGCCGGCCAGAGAGCCAGTCTGGAGGTGCAGACAGAAGTCCCTGAGCTGGACTCGCTCATCAGCTAAGCAGTGACCCTCTCCATGTCCACACACCGTCCCAGGTCTGTGCTCAGCCGCTGAAGATGTTGGACAGTCTGGCGGTGTTGGCAAGAGGAAATGGCACCGGGGCCTCACCCTTCCCGGGAGCTGCGTGGTCCCTCTGCCGCAGGCCCAGATCAGAGGCACCTGAGTGCGACATGGCTTCCCTGGGGCTGCTTTGCTTTGAAATTTTTCTGGCAGAACATGTGACCTGAACATCAAACCTTCCCTTCAGGAATTTAGATGTTTGGGTTTTGTGCCCCTGGGGGCTAGAGCTCTTGAAGAATGTGGGGAGTCAGGCATTCCCATGAGATGGGGGGCACAGAGGAACCCCAGTAAACGGCTGGGAGCAAGCGCTCAGATCATTGCAAGACAGCCCCCGGGAGACAGCATGGAGAAGAACAAGGATCCAGCCTCCTTCCTTCAGGACATTCGTCACTTCCTATGCTTCCCAGGTGGGGACAGTGGCCCAAGCCAGGCCTCACTCTGGGCCACTTCCTCCAAGAGGCTATGTTCATGGCCTCCCGCAGGAGTCGGCTCATTCCCGCACGTTTTCATGGAGCATGGTGTGGGAGGCTATGTTCATGGCCTCCCGCAGGAGTCGGCTCATGGAGCACGGTGTGGGTTCCGTGGGCAATGTCCTCTCTTGCCTTAGTGGCACCTGTGACATTTTTTGGGGGGGCTATTTCAAGCAGGAATTGGGGAACATGTGATTCTAAATACCTGTAGTTTCTATCTCCTTGTTGCCTCCAAGTAGAGGGTGTCCTGAAGTCCAGAAGAAACGGTTTGGAGACAGCTTTTGTCCAAATGACCTTTGAGGATCTTTCTAAAAGCTGGTGCCAAAGGTCATGTTCCTTTCCTGCCCTCTGCTTTTGAGCCTGACATCCTCACCCTGCTTGGCCTGTGAGCTAGCTGAGAGCAGGCGTGGGCAGGCTGAGACAGAGGGAGTGGGAAGTGGAGAGAACAGCTATTTTTACTTGAGAGGAGCTTTTAGAGAGTGTACGTTTCTCTGATTGGGATTACTTGGGAAGTGGAACATGCTTCAGATACCATACAATAAAATTGGAGGTTGTCACACCAAATCACTCAACCCCTGCCCCTTACTTGGCAGTGTGCCTGAGAGGATCTGTATGTAACATTCTGTACCACTGAAGATGGGTTATTTTCCCTCTTTCTCACTATCTTGTGTCCAGTTGACACGAGTGTGTGCTTGTAGGGTGGTCGTATATTTAGGCAGAGGGGCCTGTGGTTCTGCTCTTGAGGAAGACGTCACTGTGTCCCACTTTCTGGAATTCTCTTCCTGGTTGTCAGAGCTAGCTCTGGTTTTTGACTCTTACAGCCGATTTGAGTGGGGCTGCATGAAGGTGCACACCCCTCGCCTCTGACAGCCTGAAGTAGGTACAGACAAATGAGGCTTTGCCTCCCACAGAACATAGTTGTAAGGGCCTGGGTGGGGCATAGGCATGAATATGGATGGGGAGGGACCCTTGGGAGGAGCAGAATGCTGCTGAGGTCACCTCTGAGGAGGTGTTGGATGGAGGGTGTATGGGAGCTGCAGGCACGGAGCACTTGTTACTTTATTGCCTCTCACTCCCCCTCACCCCCCCAAAAAAATATCTGGGACCAATTTTTTTAACTTTGCATATTTGTTTTTGGGTAGGTGTACCCCTCTCCTTTTTCTGTCCTGAGACCCTGGACAAAACTCTTCATTTGGGGGGAGGAGGAGAACTGTTTGAACCACACCAATGATGATTTCGTTTGTAATACTTGAAAGTTATTTTTTTATTATTTTGATAGCAAATGTGCTATTTATTTATTTAATGTGTATAAAGGAGCTTGAACATAGACAATTTCTTACATTGGGTTGTTTGTTGGTTGGTTTGGGGCCTTTTATGTGCGACTTAAGACTTCTCTGCATTCTGTATATTTGTCTGAATTAATTATCTGGGATGAAGCTGTGCCGGCTTTCACACAGGGGCTGCCTTTCAGAAATTTGTATATTTTGCAGTTGCCAGCACAATAAAATACCCAATTGAAATACACTATAGTGCACTTCTGGTCTTTTTTTTGGAAGGGAGAGGGAGAGAGATGGAAACATCAATGATGAGAGAAAATCATTGATCGGCTGCCTTTTGCACGCTCACACTGGGGATCAAGCCTGCAACCCAAGCATGTGTCCAGATAGACCAACGCTCTATCCACTGAGCCAAACCAGCGAGGGCAAGAAGAATCTTTAATTGACACTTTTGGTCAGTACACCAAGTTTCTACCCCTCAGTTCTTGACCTCCCTCTGCACTGCTTCCTTTAAACAGGACATGCAGATACTGATGGCCTAGTGCCAGCTTTTGGGAAACAATAAGCTGTGTCAACTTTAAAATAACAATAAGAGACTTGATTTCTTATAACAGTGCAGGTTTACAGGAAAGAGCAGCTAGTACAGAGTTCCCATGTGCTCTCCCCTGTCCCTGCACAGTCTTCCCTATTATTAACATATTTCGCTAATGTGGTGCACCTGTTATGGTTGATGAGCCAATATTGATACATGGTTGTTTATTAGAATCCATAGTTTACACTAGGGTTCGCCCTGTGTTGAACAGTTCTATGGGTTTTGACAAATGCATACTGATATGTATCCACCATTACGGTATACAGTATGCCCATCGGTTTTTATTCCTTTCATTCCATCCCCTGCCTCCCCAGCCCTTTCAAACAGCAGCAGTTCTTACACAGCAGTGGGGCTGGTCTGGGTCTGCATTCCTCACCCCAGGCGCTTCCCTCCTGTAGGCCAGTGCCGCTGATCAGAGTCTCCAGTCAGATTGATTCTCATCTCTCTTTGCCCTGGGCTCACTTTCCACTTTTCTCACCAGCATGGTTAGGAATATCTTAACTTGGAATTATTTAATAAATGGTACCACTACAAGAATTGCTCAACTATCTGGGAAGAAAAAGCTAATGAGATCATAGCATTGTAACATCTATCTTGACCTATATGATTTTTAACATTTTTTTATTGATTTGAAAGAAAGGAGAGAAACATCGATTTGTTGTTGCACTTATTTATGCATTCATTGGTTGCTTCTTGTATGTGCCCTGACCGGGGATTAAACCCACAACCTTGGCGTACCAGAACAACGCTCTAACCAACTGAGCTACCTGGCCAGGGCTAGGCCTATATGTTTTTTTGTTTGTTTTGTTTTTTTTAAATCAAACTATTAAAAAGGAGAAAAAAATATTGGTAAATGTCTAAATTTTTGATGGACAGCGATCAAGATTAAAAGCAATAAAGAAACTACAGCCCTAGCTGGTTTGGCTCAGTAGATAGAATGTCGGTCTGTGGATGGAAGGGTCCCGGGTTCGATTCTGGTTAAGGGCACATTTTTGGGTTGCTGGCTCGATCCCCAATAGGGGATCATTGATGTTTCTATCCCCCTTTCCCTTCCTCTCTGAAATCAATCAAAAAATATTTTTAAAAAATAAATAAAAAGAAAATAAACTACAAAGGAAAAGATTTCACAATGTAAATATTTTAAGTTCGAAGTCATCAAAAGTCAAGCAAAAGGGGAAAAAAATACTAAGAAACATTTGCAACAAATTTGACACCACCACCACCACCCATTATCCTAAAATATATATTGGAGACCCATCTGAAGTGATAAAACATCGAGATTTTTCTAGATAACCTGGACAAAGGCTTTTATTCGATCCTTATCACAAACTTTTTTGATGTTTTAAAGAATAAAGATGAAACAGCGAAAGTTTGGTGGAATTAAGTCCTAAATATTGTTTTCTAAACTTCATTTTGAGCTCACATTTTTCAACACAACATGAGTGGGTTCAAATCTAGTTTTTCTTGGAGTGTGAGCAGGTCTTCACAGTCAATGTATTTATGACCCGGGTAATCTATAAAGACACTGATTTCAACTACAGGTTCTGACATACTCCTAAGGTGATACTGGAAGAACCCCTGTAAAGACAACAGAAGCACCTCAAAACATGGTATTCTGGCCACTTAGGACTAAAGAGGGCCCTTTGCCCACTCTCTGAGAGAAGTCTGGATCTATTTAATAGTGTGGGTGTCGGTAGAAGCCTCATCTCCTTTGTACCCACAGGGATCATTAGCCACATTCGATTCCATGTGTAGGATAAAATGAAGATTAGGGGCAGACTGGGTTGGTAGACCGTTAGAAAGAAACCTAGTGGTGGTGGGGATGGAGGTGGAAGAGTGTCTCCCATATACAAAATATTTTATAACATTGCATTGCCCATAAGTGCTCAATGAAAGCTGTCCACTTTTAGTTCTTTGAGGACTAAACTTGAGCTGCAGGCCTCAGAGGAATTCTGTCTCAGATATGTAGGATTAACTGAACAAAAGATGTCTCACTGGGATATGCTGACAAATACACTCGGTGTGAACAAACGGGCAGAAGAGGCACCCAAGGCCTGGGTGGGACCAGATTCTTTCCCATTAAAGTCCTGACTGTGTAGTAGAATCCAGGGGCTGGGGAGAGGAGAGGCACCAGCCAGGTGTGATGAATCAATCAATGAAACAACCCCAGGCCTTGGAGATGGACGGTTCACATTTCACCTCTCTGTCCCACCACATTCCAAATGTGTGGACTTAAACAAGTTACTTCATATTTTTAAACTTGTTCCCTATTTATAAAATGGGGAAATCCATACTGTATTTTTTATTACAAGATGCATCATCAATTTATTAGTTTTATACAAAACAGGACAAACCATGTGCACATCAAATGCAAGACCAAATTCAATTTTAAATGTGTTGAATGTAGACAAAAATTCTCCTTAGAAGTCAAGAAATACCACAGTTATTTTTCAGGCTTTTTGTGAGGACTAAATCTTACAAAGGAAGAGCTCTTGACAGTTCCTGGCACAGAGTAAGCTCGGAAATGGTAGATATTAATCTAATAATGTGTGCCACGTGCTTTAAATGCCAAGTAGGTAATGTTATCCCTACTTTGCAGGTGTAGAGACTAGGAGAACTCAAGGATCCTGCTGGATTTTTCTCAGTCATAACTGGGGGAAAGCCCCAGGTCTGTCAGACTGTCTATCACACAGCCTGAGAGCCACAGAGCTGGGCAAGGCCCTGCTGGATGGATCATCAACCACAGGAATTGGATTGAGTCACATGCTAATTAGCAAAAAGTTTTTGTGTTCCTGGGGCTACAGAGAGATCTCTGCAACCAAATGAATAAAAGGTTTCTTTACCAGATATCCAGTATCTAAGGTTCTGTATTTTCCCCTTCCCATCTCTTCCAAATAGGGCCTGGAGGAAATAGGGCCCAGCATGTTGGGACACCCTATTCCTGGGTTACATGAAGACTTTCCCACGGGTACACTGGCATAGATAGTTTTAGAGGAATAGGTTTCCAGAGCCTCAGCCTCTACACTCACCCTTTCTAAAACAGTCTGGGAAGTTTGCTTATATGCACAATAGTTTCTCTGCTTTGCAAACAGAAGGCAATGCCCTCACCCACCCCAAAGTGCTTACTAAAGTGCATTGCCCCCAGAGTGGAAACACCTCTAGGATACCCAACAAAGAG